TGCACAGTATATATGTGACTGTACGAAAATGAAAATGGAAAATAAAAACATATTTACAGAGAAAAAAAAACAGTAACATTTTAAATCCTTAAATAACTTTGCGGAACCTGGGTTATTATAACAACTAATCAAAATTAAACTGTACATAAGAGTCTTTGGAAATTTATTACATCATCAGTATTAAAAAAATGAGAGGCAACTTTTAACATACATTTTCTGAAAGTCAAATATAGCCGAAAGCATTTTTTTTCCAGAATTGACATTTTAGATCGTAAGAAGCTATTTAATATTCTTTAAAAGCTGAAGCTCTGGATTGGGCAATATATAAAATTTATGTTCTCTATTTCAAATGTTTATGGTATCCCAACTCAATCCATGATTAGTTTAGTTTATTGTGTTGTACAGATTGAGAAATATGTAATCAAATCACCATAAAAAGCAATGAGAACACTTCTTTTTCATGGGCCCATGTGAAATTGCATTACACTATTTTTTATATACTACTTAGAAAATATAGTGGGTATTATAATACATGAGGGACTTTTTAGTTTAGAAGTTTCTTATTTTGCCTTTTACCTTTTATCTAATATCTTGTTTCATTTATTTTATTCTACAAAAGTACTGCTGTTACAAATTGCATACTACTATTAACCTGAAAATATTTTTCTCCAAAATTGAATTTCAAAATATAAAACTAATATTTGGGACAATAAGATAATACAGGAGATTTCTTCCTAATCTTCTGACAAGACACTTAAGTTAAATGCTGGTCAATTTCAAATAAATACGGTATTGGAACACTTCATACTTTTCATCTCCATTGTAAGCTACATTGTCAGCTTGGTTAACAGAAGTAAATATTGGCGCGAAACTTCAAGGTTTAAATGCCTGCGTGCTTAAGAGTCACTACCAGCGCCTAAAAACGACACTGCCTTTGCAAATCAGATTCCGGGGCATTTCTTATCGTCTCTTAATTTGCTAGTTACGCAAGGCTTATTTTAACGACTCCTTTCCTAATATTTTCTAGCCGTTTGGCTACTATATTAATGTTACTTTAAATGTGTGCGACACATTTTTGTCCGTGACGCCATTCACGGGCGCCAGGGAGCGTCTGGCTTCAGGCCGATTTCGCTGTGCCTCCTGTACGGAAAGAAGGACGTGGTTGTTGGGGATTATGGCTCCTGCTGCTGTCTCTGCTGGACAATCTCCTGAGATCCAATTTGCTCAGAGGTTGGCCTCGAATGAGAAACGGATTCGGGATCGGGCACTGAAAAAGCTACGTGGCTACATGACGCTCAGGACCCAGAGTCTAGAGGGTAAGGTTGGAGAAGCACGTGGGACAAAACATCTTGTCAGGCCTGCGGTGAAGACGAAAATACACGTGTTAGTTATTGCTAAATACCTGAAGGACCGTCTCCAAAGCGTTAGGAGCAAAATATGCTTTAAGATGATGTTTATATGAATAACAAGTGACATCTACTGCTACATTTTAAGGGATAATATTGTATGATTGCACAGTTCTTCATAGTTCTTTGCTAATTGTGTATTTTTGGCAGATTGGCATTTGATTACACTTAATTATACATAATTCTTGGTTAATTGGGTATTTTCCATCCCCTAAGCAGTTGCAGGGCTATTTTCAATTTACTTTTTTTAAATAATAGTTTCTTTTTGTGCTATAGGTTGCTTCAGTCAAGAAGAATTGTTAAAAATATGGAAAGGATTATTTTACTGTATGTGGATGCAGGATAAACCTCTCTTGCAGGTATGTTATATGGAGTTGGAAAGAACAGCAGTAGCAGTTAGACTTATATACAGCTTCATAAGGCTTTCAGCCCTCTCTAAGCGGTTTACAGAGTCAGCATTTGCCCCCAACAACAATCCGGGTCCTCATTTTATCCACCTCGGAAGGATGGAAGGCTGAGTCAACCCTGAGCTGGTG